ATCCCGCGATATTCACCCAGCTTCGTTGGTCAAGGTTGGTGATATCGGGGCTTGACCCCCTGCTGTAAATAAGATAGCAAATTCAAGCGAATCCCTGTGACTCCAAGGATCTCCAAGGGTTACACACACATATACTGTATATGTATAGTATTATATATATATATATCTATCAAGCAAACGGCAAACTAGACTGCAAACAACAATAGATAGGATAGGAGACCAAGCTGGATTTCCACCAAATGCAGGAGCTGGGTAGATCCATATTTCGAAGAGGAGCCTGGATTTGACACATGTTTACACAGTAGTGCGCAGGGAGGCACATGAAACTGAATGATGCTATGGCCATGGCCATGGCCATGCAACAACCTTTTAGGAGTACTGGTGCTCGTCAAGAATCCGTGCCTCCTAAATGCAATCCCAGGCTACAAAAACACGCCATCTTCTTTGCGCAAAGGTTCATGAGGGCAGTGATGAGGATATCAGGCAACTAAACCTACCACCATAACACTAATTTATTAAGCACCATCAATCTGACTGGCATGTCAGGGATTTCTTCATACTAGAATGGCTAAATTGAATTCCCAAATTGCAGCCTTTGACAAAAGACTCACATGTTTTTGTCAAGGTACGTAAAGCATCAGCAAACTCCACAGTGGTTTTTTCCAGATCACAACAATTGCACTGGCCCCACGCCATTGCTCGATGCAGAATGAGCACTTCAGCCGGAACCTCTGTTTCAGCTTTTTCCCAATCTTACCCCAGACTTAGAGCTGCCTCAATTGCCAAGAACCAATATTGTAAATCAGCATGCTAAGCGTTCAAGGTTCATTTTGGAATTGCACAAAACAAGGTGGGCCCCCAACAACTTAACAAAGTCCCAATTCACCTTCTTCAATCCTTTGCTGGCAGGCCAGCGGGCCGACTTGCTAAACCTGAGAGGCGGCCAAACGGGACGCGCACAAAGAAGCCGCTGTCGCTCTATTCATGTCAGGAATCCCAATCTGGCTTAGCACCATCACATCTGAAAGTGCCTTTCTATCTATCTATCTACCTATAGTCTATATTTATGTATTTATCAAATATGCCCTGACTGGGCTGTGAGATGGAGCTGTGGTCCAAACCCTGAACATGGCGCCCGTGCCCCTCTACTGGGCATTCCCTCCCTTTTCTGCGGCCATGATGCCTTCCGAAGGGCTACTGTGTTCCAAGCACCCCACTGAGAGATGCATTAATATTACTAATATATATCTATATATATCTATCTCTCTCTCTCTATATATATATGTGTGATGTCCTATTTTTGAATGTTTTGGCGCACCCGTTTGCACCTGCCATGCGACGATCGCCGCCGTTTTCACCTCGGCTCAGGGGTGGCTGTTCCACCGCTGCCGCGCAAACGAAATGCATGCGCGGAGCAATGACAAAATGCTAGGCAAGATTGGTCACATGTTAAACCAGTCACTGCATGAAAAACCCACCTATACGCACGCGCTTCCCGCACCTGAATCCAAGCACAGCAGCCTTGCGGAACGCCGCCAGGTCCATGGAGAGGCCAAACTTGCGGCCCAAAATGGAAACCCTCGTGTGAGCCAAAGGAGCGGCACATTGACGCAAAGAAAGCACATGAAATCGACCAAATTCCGCCATTCGACACGAACATGCGAAACGAACACTCTTTTCACCTTGTTCAAGCGATTTCTTGAGGGTGGTTGGCGGGTGTGACAGCGTAGCTCGTGCTCCTAGTAGAAGCTGGGAACAGGGCACTTGAACAGCTCACTCTGATGTTCAAAAATGCCTCTGAAGAAAACAGAAGTCTTGGAGAGAGAAGGACCCCACGAAGGATGGCTCAGCAAGTGTTTACGAAAGTCGAGCTTCCAGTCTTTGCGATCCTGCGCTGTTGGGCACCATGGTGTTCCCATGCCCAGGTGTTCCCATGGTGTTCCAACGTGTGCCCGGTGAACATCATGAACAGCCCCAGCTTGAAAAGGAACATGTTCCACACAACTTGGGGGAGAAAAGCAAAAAGCTGAGGTGCATTGCACAGTGGAAGCCTCAAAGAGGCGTCTTGAACTCACGAACTCGAAAAGTCGAAGCCTACACTCTTTCTTTCTTGCCACGATCCGGGAGGACTTAGTGATTCAATTTACACATCTAGTCTAGTTCTTATCGTGAAGCACATTCATTCGACAAATGTCGCTTCGAACCAGCCAGTTCCAGTTACCTAGCCCGTCCCATCTCCTTGAAGGTCGCATGATGGGTCTTTGCCAGCCACAACTGCGAATCTTTGACCTGGTGCCAAAATGCGCCAAGCACAAAGAACAACCACCCATGACCATCCTCACCTGGCTACTGGCACCAGGCGGCACTCTGCTTGGTAGTCTGAAGTGGTAAATGGGAATAATGTTCATCCGTCTGATTGATTTTTAGGGAATACCTAGTCGGCAATCAGTCTCAATCTTGAGCTCATATCACAGACTAGTGGCCATCTCCTTCGTGAGGCTGTCCAGGATATCAGCTGGAGCCACCAAAGCATCCCCATGACCATGGCCCAAAATAAAATGCGCCATGCATCGAAGAGTCTGAGCCTGAGGAATGCTGCCCGAAATGTGTGTGGAAGATTTACGTGGTGTGGGGCGGGGTCGACCGGGCATCCAGCATGTCGTGGACGACCTAAACATTTGCAAGACCACTGCTCGTAACAATGTCAAGTGTTTGTCAAGCAAGAACTGTTAAACATGCTAAACCATGTTGCACACTGTGACACCCTTGCATCCTTGGACCAGCAATAAGTGTCTGGATTCGCCGGTGTATGTCTGTGGGACCGGCTGCCGCGCACGATGGCACAAGACTATACCTAGCGCTTCCAAGGGGTTACCAATGGAGACCTGTAAGTAGTGTGGAGATATCCATTGGTGACCCCTTGGAAGCAGCTGGTACAGTACATGTTGGAGTTTCCAAGGCTAATCAAAGGCGATACACTCTGATGAACACATCACATGAAAGATCATGAAAGTGGACACCACCCTCGTCTTCCAACAGGCCCATGGCATTTGGTTTCGGGGTTTTTCTCGCTTCTTTTGAGCCAAGTGTCGACGTGTGGCTGCCGGAAATGCTCAGGCGAGAGATGCAGCACTCGGGAGTCATTGCTCAAGAGCTCGGTGTTTCGCAACATTGCTTGGATGGAAGAGTGGGATCTGCCGTACTCCAGTTCCAATGCTTCCGGCACAGAAGCATTGCCGATCTTCTGCAAGAGTGTCAAGTACCCGCACCGGTAGCCGCAACGACGAAACAAGTCGTGCCAGACCGTGTGGGAACAACCATGGCATCCCAAGCCATGAAAGGCGGCAAAGTGAGGGTTTTCTCGAAGGGCCCGGCGTGAATGAAAGCGGAAGGCGCTGGCGGCCAATTCGGCGGGATCCCGGATCAAGTGAACCACTCGTCCGCGGTACAAGCTTGGTAATGGGTAGGGCCGCTTCGATCTGCTGATCAGTCCACGAATGAAGTGCAATGGAGGGATGAACCTTGGCACCGCATATGTATTATTGCCCATGCATGACACCAAACAAACTGCCCGCTGCAGCAAGACTAACATAGACTACACTCCTGCACTTACATGTGGAAGCCAAGAGGATACACAAACAAAACAAACACATGGAACTTGCAAACACACAGTTCCTGCTCTCATGTTCGGCTATCATGTCGGGACACCTACAGAAAGCAGCGACCACGATTTAACATGGACCTGGACGGAAAATGTCCCCAAAACGCACGCATCATGTTTTGTGTAATCCACTAATATGGTCCATCATGGTTCTACCAACATGGATGCCAAAACAAAGCTTACTCTGTTTCCGGCCAAAGCTTCTCTCCCATGGTCACAACGATGGGAGAGATTGGCCGCTGCAGCATGTCCCAACCATCTGGTGGCGTCCAGTTCCAAAGTTCCTCCTTCATCAAACATGCCACATGTGTTTGGACTCAAAGCTAGCAGTGCCCAAAAGCATCCAAAAGCTCAATCAATGCAAGGCTCACACTAGTGTCTCGGTAGCACGGAACCCCCCCCTATATACAAGATTCTTGGCTCAAACTCCAACTTGAAGGGGGTTGCAAGTCCTTGTCCAGAAGATTCGGCAGCCCTGCTGAGCAAAAAGCCACTGCAAGGAAAACAGTTGGACAAAGCACAACAGCGGAATGGAACATCATGGGCAGAAGGTGATCGGCTAGCAATGCTTCAGGAGTTACATACCCAATGGAATTGATTATATTGAAATTCATCTGATAAGCCCCTCGTTCAATTCATCTCGAGATGTGACACAAGCTTCCCAGTGGGCGTCGGGGGCACCGAACCATCCGTGTTGATCATTTCCATCTGAAACCTTCAGATTTGGGCATCTTTTGAGCGTGTCTTGAGATATTTTCGGGACCTTAGGGCTTAAGCCACTGACTACGCGAGACATCGCGAGACTCCTGTCGCTTGCAGGACCCTTTTTCAAGCCGCTCGGTTGGTCTCACAGTGCGGGCAAAGCGCCCTCACTCCGTGGGCAGCTCCCACTCGTCATCATCGATGGCCTGCTGCAGGGAACCAGGTTTCTGGCCATCCACCGTGCAGCCCACCGCAAAGCAGGTGCCGAGGATCTCCTGAATCGCAAAAGCAGGTGCCGGTGGGTGGCGTGTCCCAAACGCACAGGCAGCGGGTTAGTCAAAAAACAAGATGGAATCCGCGAACCCGAATGCAAACACATTCGAAAAGCTACATATGTCCAAATGACACTCTTGTAGGACATTCTTGTGGGACACTCTTGTGGGTCACTGTTTCGTTCGAGACTTCCTCCAAAAGTGAAGCGCCAAGTCTCCAAAACGAGCGTTTCGTACGAGACTTCCTCCAAAAGTCAAGCGGGAACACCCATCACAATTATCGGAGCACACACATCACGCAGCCCTGCCAAGCAGTTTCGCGATTCCAGCTCCAAACAACACCCGCCCACACGCCAATCCCAATGTCACAGCGACATGCACCTCTACCACAACTCACAACCTCACGACTCCCTGCGCCTGCCACGAATCTTTCCGCGTCCACACGTCTAACGCGCATAAAGTACTGCGCTTGCCACGAAATGTCACCTCCGTCACACCTAACCTCACGATTCCCTGCGCCTGCCACGAAAATCGCACTTCCACACCTCAAAGCCCGCACAAAGTACTGCGCCTGCCACAAAAAGTGACAATATCATCTCACGCGAGCTTCAAAAAGCAAAATTTGCACCACACCACACGTTTGGAATGATTTCGACCCGTTCTGAGCACACTCCCATCCACCAAAATCACCACTTCAGCTGAGACTTGTCACGAAAACAGAGCTTCGTTGCCACACTCTGAAGCGCAAACCCCAATGGCACGGCCACGTCCAACACCCCAAAGACACGACTCTCCAAACGCTAATCCTAATGGAAGTGCGCAGCAAACTGCGGATCTCACAAAACGCTGCGCCTGCGCAGTGAAATCATCCTCCACACTTCAACATCTTACATTTCCACACGATTCCTCGCTATTTCACACGAATCTGACACGTCACGTTTTCATCCGAAACCCTCTCCAAAAGCTTCCCCCAATGGCAGCGCCTTAGCGCTCTACTGCGAACGGTTGCGGACGGTTGTGAACATACATACAGAAACAACGGGTCGCGAACAAGGCTCTACCCCCAGACCCCCAGAGTTAAACGAGAACCCTTCGCTACGCATTCGAAAATAATAGGATATTCCTGTCTCTGGAGATCAGGGAAAGTAAGTAGAACATATCAGACAATAAAGGTCGTTGAGGAGGTGTGCATATACTGCGTTGTTTGGTTTCTGACAATTCAGCATCGAGCTGCTAGGCACCACACTAAGGACGCCAAGCTGCTTTGGCTGTTCCCTTGAACTCTTTTGCCAGGCTCTTCTTGCGCATCTGTCGCACAATGTCCAAGAACACATTCTTGGTCAGGTTGCCGGTGTGCCTCAAGCACTTGTCACAAGCGGAACATGATGAAATCACTCACGGCCATTGGAAAAGATCAAAATTCCACAAATGCAATCACAGCGTCATCAAACACATTCAAAGGATCTGAGCGGAGTGCCCTATGCCAACGGAAAGGTAGCCAGTAGCTACTGCGCAGTTCTGGATTCGATGTGTGGTGATTTGTGATTGCCGTGTTGTGCTGGTGCATAGCGGCTTAGCGTGGTGAAGAGATGTGAAGAGTATTTTACATAGTCTTGGCATATAGATGTGATTTTTTTGAAATATATTGAAATATACATGTGTGATCAATGTGTGTGTTTGTGTTCTCTCATCCACCAAACCCATCTCTACTATATATTCTGTACTTCTCTAGACTTTAGACATGTCCAACAAGGAAGGATATTAAACTTACAATGCGCGCTGTGAAACCAGAGTAAACAAATCCCCGTACACCTTTGGCCACTGCAACTCAGCACCGGACCAAAGTCAAGTGGCCCTTTCTATGCGTTCGAAACCAGGATTTTGTTTCCAGCGTAACTATAGTAACAGCGGTGCTATTTATCACCAGAATACTTCAACATCCTACAAGGACTGGAAGCGCCCGCACGCGCACACACACACATATATATATTTAGACACACGCACGCACAAATACATTCCGCAGCCATCCCTGCAACAGTCAGCACCCACTCACTTCTCCCATCCTGGTTGCATTAGCACCTGACTTACACCAAACAAAGACGCAACGGGTTTGCAGTTTCTGATGATTCATTGTCCTTTGCCCAGGGTGCTTGATGTTCTTGGTCTTCTTCCTGTCTCGCAATGGCTCCTTCAAAGCCTTGATGATCAAACTAGTGGCATTGGGCTCAACGTCCACTTTGGCCTGTCGGTTCTGAATCGTCAGCTTCACAGTGACTCGGATGCCCTTCCTGGGAACAAACCCCGCTGCTTGGCGCGCAATCTTGCATGTGTGTTCAAAGCATCTTGCACAGCCACTGAACATCACTGCGATCGGGTCACTTGAGTCACTTGGGTCGTTTTGGATGCGACCAAAATCCCAAAAAAAAACAAAACAAACCAAACTAAAACGGTGCAACTTCCGCTTACCACTTCCGGTGTCCATTGGCTGGTGCCCTTCACGATGTCATCGCCCACCTTCTTGGGTGACATGCCCAAGGGGCCGACCTTCGGCGCCAACACCGAGGACGGCGCCTGCTCACCGCCGTACTGTCCTGAAGCGAAAGGGAAACGACGCCGGCCGGACAGCCCACGCATGGCCGGACAGACATTCCGGACCGGTGACCGGTAGAAAGAGTTCAACTGACCCTGAAATTTCAGGCTCAGTCTGTGGAAGTTCGACCATGAGCGAAACAAACAAAAGGCAGAACCTAGTCAAATACTGTCCCACCAAGTGTCTGAGAAAGACCACCTTCACCTCATTTGGGTCAAACTTCGGCGCCATCTTTTCTCTTCGCAGGATCCGGGACAACACCGCAGCGGCTGGAAACCCTTGAGCCCAAATTCATCCATATGCAAACGTTGAATGCTGCTGTGGTTGTGGCATCGAAACGGTAGGTCTCACTAAAAAGACTCAGGGGATCTAAACTGCAAGGGGATCAATGGCCAAGTGGCGAGTTGGAAGTCTCTGGGTTCGGCAGGGTGAGTACAACAAAAATTGGATTCAGGGTCGACGCTACACAATGTCACAATCAGCACGCAAGCAAAGCAGTCTCCTTGTGCATCACCCCGCTCATCGTTTCTGGTGCAGGTTGGTCAATCGTGGCATAGTCCGCAGGGACTTCTGCAATGGGAGCTAGGTGACCTTGGATAGCTAGGTGTTCCCTGATTCAGCATCTCAGCAAATGATGACTTCTTTGTCTTCAGCGGTATTCAAGACCTTCAACTCAATCAGCGGGGGAGACATGGGACAATTCGAAGCCAACTTGGACCTCACACTGTGCAGTTCAGTTGGCGCTGCTGAATTCTAAGCAAAACCACTGATCACTGATCCGACTTTGAAGATGGTTGGTCAAGTGGCCAAAAATGACAAGCTGCATGAAATGCTGCTGCTACATGCTGCTACACTTGTCATGCGATGCGATGATGTTGCGCGATGCATCATGCGTTGTCTGAAGTGCTCTGCCTCTCTCTTCTGCGCCCAGGAGCGCCCAGGAGCTGCGTTCCATTTCGCTGAAAGCAACGGTGAATGGATCCCAGCCTTAGATCCCGGAACGCTCGCGTTTTTATGCCTACCTGTGGGGTTGTGGGGGATTTACATTGGTGATCCTGGATCACAGTAGCCTTGAGGCTACAATTGGCTTTGATACCCGCCCTTCTGACCTTGACTTCGCCCCCCCTTTTCGGCAAACTCATCCATCACTCATTCTTTGCATTGCCGCCTGGTTCCGGATCTTGCCTGCCACATGCAGGTTTTCCAATCCTTCCACTTCCATTCTTGTATAAACTCCGAGACACCAACATGGAAGTGGAAAAGCTGTTGCTTGCAAAGCCTTCCCAGGGGCAATATTCCAGTTCCATGTGCTGCCAAAAGCTTGGCATTGCTGCCAAATGGCGCTTGAACCCAGCAGCACTTTAGCAAGGCTTGACCGCAAGAAGCGCAGCAACCAGTTTCCAGTCTTGTGATATGCTAAAAAGTATAGCCCACAGCGATCTCCTTTCCTGCGTTGACAATCACACAAATCCCAAAGTGTTGACAATCACACAAAACCCAAAAGTTGCCAAATCGCGCATCAACCTGTTTAGCAAGCCAGTGTCCTTTCATTTCTTTCATGCAAATGTCCATGCTTTCAGTTGTTGGGGGACTCCAAGGCGGATGGTCACCCGGACCGGGGTCCGCAAAATACAAGAGAAAACAGGACGAAAAGGACGGACGGTTCCCTTGGGTTCTCTTCGGTTCCCTAGGGTTCCTTATTGAAGGGGCCTTTAAAAAACTCAAGACCTTCCTATCCCGTCCTTTTCTTCCTTTTCTCTTGTATTTGGTTTCTCCCCTCCTTGGCAGGCCTGATCGGCCAGCATGGGCGGTCTTGCGGGAATCCCAGGCTTGGCTTCTCGTCGATTTGAAGACGCAAACGGAGATCTGGGATTCGTCGACGCGAGCGTCCGACGCGTCCCTTCCAGAAGACCGGATCACAACAAAGGTGCCACCAACGTGAGGGTTCCTTCTCTTGCCTTGGCTTGGGAACCGACTGCGAGTGTACAACAAATGCTTATTGTTGGCAATGTGGTCTCGGAATAAGACATGCATGCGGCAGGGAGGTTCTTGAGAAACAAGAATCAACCTGGACAATGATCAGCACTATTCTGGATAAACTGGATAGCTGCCAGCTATGGAAGGTCCTATCAGCAAGTGGAATGGTAAAGTTCGCCTGACCCTTGTTTCTTGGGGCCAAAGAAGTCCAGTGGCGCCGCCATCCAAGTTAAACGTGCTCAAATTCTAATCCTGTCACCTGTCCAAGCTGCCAACACAGAGCGTCGCCATCGATCCCATACCTAAGAGGGCGGTTCACCAGCTGATAATATGACAATATGATAATATAGACGTCAACAGCACACAGCACACAGAAAGACCATCTCTGAGTCCCCCACAGGTCCCGCTGGCAGCACCGCTTCTTGGAGTGCAAAGGAGCTCCCACACCATGTGCCTCATGGGCGCATTGCTGCGAACCATTGCCGGATCAAGAAAGGGTACGCATGGAATGACATGAGAGTAGTCTCGGCAAGACTAGAACCAACAATATATCATCTAACTTATCATATAAGTTAATAACGACAATATGTGTATATAATATAATATATATATATATATATTGAGCCCCTACAGCATGTTTGCTGATGAACGGAAAAGAGTTGATGATCCATTGTGTATGTATATATATATATATGTGTGTGTGTGTTGGTGCGTGTATTTAAATCGGTATACCGTACCGTGCATACACATTTACATTTAGGATTATGTATATATCTGCACACACATACATACATACAGACAGACAAACAAACAAACAAACAAGCAAACGTTACGTACATACAGACATACAAACATACAAACATACACACAAGACAACACAACACAACACAACACATCACATCACATGCACACACTCAAATTATAGTATAAATAGGCTCTATTTTCTTTTCCCTCCGGAGTGTTTTCATCCTGATTCTCTCCGAGTGACGAAGCATCGCTGCGCAACTGCTGCGCGCCATGCTGCTTTTGGCCTTCTCCTTTGCCAGTCCTTGGTGTGCGCAGGGCCAAAGCAGAATGGGCCTAAATTTGTCCAAATTGGGGGGATGGAATCAGGTTACCCTAGTGAAGGGGGTGGCGACCATGGTCGAAAAATTTTGCTCAGCAAATGCGGACATTCTAAGAGCTGCTTGCTCCACCGCCAGGCCCTTGCTGTCAAACTCTGGCAAGTTCCAGTGCAGCGCATGGCTTGCGTGCATGGCTGCGGCAAACTGTCAGAGTGGCACAGAACATAGGGAAGTTTGAGGGTCACCCCAAATCCAAGTGGATCCAATGCAAGAAGAAGCTATGCGCACAATGTCTACCCTCTATACTATACCCGCAAGCATGGAGCCACGTCCTTGGCTTCCATTCCATAAGCCCGTGTTCAGTTCTGCACATGATGAGTGACGTGATCTGGATTCGACAGCTTCAGATTCCGGGCGCGTAAAGCCTGAGCTTGGGACGAGGGCCCTGCACTTACAGCAAAATGGGCACAACCCAAGGTGCCCCCTCCAAAGCGTTAGATGGCTGAATGAATGTGTTTGCTGTTCACACTTACTCTTGAATCAATTTAAGCTTTGGGCACCTGAGGTGGTACTGTGACAAACTTGGTATTTTTGATTGTTGTTGGGAAGTTTCCTTGCGCTGCAGCTGTAGCACAATCTTGTTCGACATCCAGCACCTTTTTTGGGTATTGCAACCAACATCTCACGACTCATTGCTCTGTGTATGAATGTGATGGCTGCGGTTCCTTTGAGAAGGCGAACGCATCACACCTTACGTTCCAGAGTAGACGCATCAACTCCAAACCGGACATGGGGGTACCTATGAGCCGTTGCGTGGTGTGTGTGTGTGTCAACATGTGTCAACCTGAGACCGCTGAGGGAAAGCCAAGGCACTTCGAGCATCTTCGGGCTGACTTGATTTGTCCCCTTGTTGGCACTTGGCTCCCAAACCAGTGCTGACAAGGCTGAAGCCCTTCACCCCTTCAGCCTGACATTGCTCGAGCCAACATCAGCCGGGCGTTAACGAGTTAATTAAAGGGTCTTGAGGCAATCTGTCTACTCAAACGGCGGAAGGAGCCTTGCACTAGAAAGCGGCCCAACCAGCCACGACATCCTTGGAACTCACCCGTCCAACAACGAGACTTGCCTGCAGAAGCTTCACAAGTCTTTCTTGGTACTCCGAAGCAGACTCCTGTCAACGGAGCAGCCTCGAAGACATCCAACCCAACGTTTTGCTGGTTTGATTTCGGGCAAGTCAAGACTGGACAGCAATTAACAGCCATTAACAAAAACACACGACATAGCTTTCTCACACTCATCACCCTATGGTTGATGGAAGGAACCTTGCACCGCTTTGGCACACACACACACACAACTCATTGACACCTGACACACCGGCACCCCTATTCAATATGGTCACGTCATGCAGGCGGAGCCGGCTTTCTTCGTCAGACCTTTGCGGGTTTTGATGACGGATGAGACAGTCTTAAAAGCACGAGGGTTTGATGTATCATCCTCACAAAAAACCTGCAAGATTTCTTCCGTCAAACGGTGGGGGCGGTACTTCCGCCAATATCAAAATTTGTGAAACGCCAACGGTGCTTATGTTCACAGTATGTTCACTGCTTTGGCCCCGGAAGTGTGCACGATGCTCAGCTCATGTGTGGCCGGCGTCGGCCCAATGGCCTGCCAGCCTTTGGCCGTGTTGGGTGCAACGAACTGCTCCTGAAATCAGGTTCGGCTTCAAACAATGATGCAACAATACACCACCACCACCACCACCACCACCACCACCACCACGACAACGACAACGACAACGACAACGACAGCTCCAAATTGGCAAGTTGCCCACCATTTTCCAGGTTTTGACGCAAACAAATCACGTGAGACACATGCAACAAAAGTGGCAATGGATAGGATTGGTCCATCACTACATAAGCTACCGGTACCGCAAACACTAACCAAAATCTGTGACGAAACATGTGAAAAGGAACAATCGCTCCTCAGAGAGGGTGATTCCTCTCTTTTGAAGAGTCTTCACAAGACTCTCCCGAACCTCAAGCGTTCCACAAATGTGGTCGGGACTGGACAACGGAGGGTTGCTGGGCACTGAATCAAATCAGGCGTGAAAATAAGATTCCGAACTGAAAGTTCATGGACAGCGACTGGACATGCGACTGCACATGCGTTATGCTAGTTGCTAGGGTAGCTCAAACCAGAAGTCCCAAGTTCCCCACCAGAGTTGCATTGCAATCCTCCTCCTGCTCGAAGCCGTATCGCCTTGGATTTCTGGAAAAAATTCCCAGACCCCAAACTGACCATCTCCAGTGTTCACATGCTGGTGGTAGCCAGGAAGACCAGCCCTCCATTTTGGGAGTCCAAAACCTGGTCAAGGAGCTCGTCCAGCAGAATGATCCGCACCCGGCTCCAATCCTCAGCAAGGTCTTCTCTTGAAGGTTCAAAGCTCTCTCCACTCCATTCCACTCCCACAGCTCACAAGGCACAAAGAAGCCACCATTCAATCTTAAGAGCCTCGAAGATCTAAAGACTCAAGGCACTGGGTTTCGGGATGCTCTAAGTCAGTGGAACCATGTGGAACCTACCCTATAGAATCTATACTATATTGAATCTATTATATACATGTATGTTACAATACCTGTGAGGGAGTCTTGCTTGCCAAGACATAAAATGCGTGGTGTGACCCTAGATTCTCTATATTTTGCGAGGACCAACCCTCAGGAACCCTATAAAATTCAACCATGAAGTCCAAGGTGCCTCCTCACAAAAAACTGCTGTGCGAACATAATTTTTCTATAAACTGCCGAGATGCCGAGGACTGACCCCCTAAAAGAATTGCATAAAACGAACATGTGTTCAAACAAGAGAGAGAGAGAGAGAGAAAGAGAGCACATTCCGCCTGGTTTTTTGTGCAGCTAAGACGTGCTAAGACTGCATCAAATTCAAGCAGTCCAAAACCTCTTCAACACAAATCAGAGTTTGTCGTGAGATGTAGTGGGTTACTATGGATTATAGCAAATTACTCAACAGAAAAGTCAAGAGAACACAGGCTTGTCAAATGTTTGCCCACATTCCTTAGTAGAGGGCAAGCCTGGTGGCCAAAACAAAGAGGCAACACTGGGGCACACCCCAGCTCCACCCGATCTCGGACTCGGCACGATCTCCTGCTCGGTCCACTCGGCTATCGCACTGTACACCTGGCATTCTGGTCGAATTCCAGTCGGTTTCCCGAGTGGCTAACCATGTTGAACTCTAACGCAGCTGTTCCTCGTGGAGCTGCCATAATACTAAATGCATATCGCATATATAATATCATATATATATATATATGTGTGTGTGTGTGTGTGACGTGTGAGCACTGGAATTGCGTTTAGCAAAGCTGCTCGCCACTTTGAAGTAGTCACCGCTCACTCGAAACCGCCTCCCTTTTGGACAATGATCCGCTAGTTACTTTCATGCGAAGCAAGCACAACAAACTATATACCATTATATACCAGTAACCAGCCAAAAATTGAAACAAAGACCGCTATGGCCATGCCATTCTGCTGTGCACGTGTTGCTCCATCCTCGGACAGTGTGGCATGTGGCAACCTGCGTTTTTATTCGCCATGGCGGTTGGAGGCACCTCTCGCGCGCGACTTCGACGCGCTAAGCCATTCCTCAGCTTTCTTCAAGCTCATCGAAGAAGAAAGAGCTTCTACATGCTTTTGCAAACATATTAAACTTCCCGACATCCTTTCCTGCGAAGGAAAGGTGGGAGTCTCCAAATCGCATGTGACACTTGCTTCACTGAATCATTGCAATTTTGCGTGCCATGTTTATGTATATATTATCGGTATTTATCGGTCCCATTTGCAGTATGTGCAACTTCTTAGCGATTGGGAGGACTTACAGTACTCGGAATATTGTGTGTAGCCTTGACATGCCTTGACATGCCCCCCCAACAATGCTTCAAGGATAAGCGCCAAAGCTTTCATTGATCATCAGGACCATCAACGTGACTCCAACTGGCTTGAAAAATCTCTAGCACACTTCCTTGCTTGGGCCTCCAGCGTAGGTGACAAGCCAAGCAGAAACTTGGAGGAAGAAGACTTCTGGTGCCTGGTGCAATCGGAGGAGCGGCCGGTCTGCAACCGCTTAACGTAGACTCTTGATGAATAACACAGCCATAGGAAGAGGCTTTAGAATCCAAATGGGGAGGCTTATTCATCAAGCTGCATTACACAGCAAACATCAGCAGACTGACTGCACCGGAGCCTGTGACCGGTGCGTGCACCATCATGCTCAGGGACTTCTCAACCGAGTACTGACAGTCACAACAAGCGAGTCCGCCTGATGATGCAGCCGCAAATGTGTCGAGCTGCCTTTTCTTGCAAGTCCTTCAGCCACTTCAGTCAACTGTCGAGTTCGGCCATGATGTTCTTGTTGCTCTGGTTGGGTTGCTTGCTTATTGGTTGGTGCTTTGTTTGTCAAGAATCCTGTGCCTGTACAGGGCAACGGTACCCCACAGTTGTCTGCTTGGCACTCCGAAATGCAATCCTGGTGACTGCGCGTCCGTACGCAAATAATACCATACTCAATGGACACACAAGCAAAACCAGTGCAAGTGCAGGTGCCAGCCAAAACAAGTGCAGAAATGGGGGTCCTGCTCGGTATATGCAATGATGCGCTCACCCATGGCGCTGGCGACAGTGAATGAAGGAGGATCGGGTCAGAGTCAAGCCTGCAATGTGATCTCCCCAATAGGCTTGAGATGGTGCCGTGAGCATTTCATTGTCAGACACTGTCGCCACACTGCAGCACAAAAAACGGCAGCGTGGCCTGCTGCCACACTAGTGTTCTCTACTGCTGACTGTTTGCTTCTGAGTGTCTCCGTGTTGTCTTGCTCTCATGACTTACTTGGAGGATTTGCAGGATATATAATGAATGGTGCTGCATAGTCCAATGCCAGTAGACACATCCCTAACTATGATGACCGGAAAGGTCTGCAGAAACAAGTCAAATCAAACGTGCTGGCCCCCACCGCCCTGTACATGCTCACGTGATGACCCTCCGTCCAGCTGCCACAGGATGTATCCAGCGCACCCATCTACACTGCTACACAAACATGAGCCCTTGACTCAATTGTTTTTTAATGGGAACTCAAGCGGTGGGAGCTATGCAAAGCACGTCATGCCAAAGCTTCCTCGGTGAGTCTTTTTCTCTATCCACGTCTCATCCTGTCTTCCTTGATGGCATCCTGAAGGAAGGAAGGAAGGAAGGAAGGAGAGACCCAAGGTGGTAGAGCTGATTGATGAGGTGCTTCTATCAGGTGATAAAGATTGGCTGCTTTAGGTATTAGGTCGCTTGACTCAAGCTCCAGAGGGAGGGAAAGTGTCCAACAGAAGGATTTAACATGGGGCTGATGCCAAAAAGTCTGTTTTGAGGAATTAGAGAACAAAGGCCAATGTCCCACGATGGCCGGCTCCAGTCCATCGCAAAGAAGAGGTCGTCAGTGAGGGTGGTGTCCTGACTAACTGCGACGGTGAGGGTTGCAGTGCAACTGTAGCCTCCCGACAGTCAATGCAAACCACCAGTGTATGGTAAGCTAGGAGCTGCTGATTTTGCAAGTGCTGTTTTGTGGTCATTTATGTTTTCTTTTTTTTCTGACTTTAGGTCCCCCAGTGGTCTCTAAGTGCACGTGTGCTTCTGCAAGGTGGCCCCGACAACAAAAAAGCAATTGTCTTTTTTTGGAATGATGAGGAATCCTTCTGCACAGCACAGGTTGGCCCCTCAAAGAAACCTTTTTGTGACAACTGGGACCTGGGACTTTTGGTCACCCCGTGTCCAGCATGTTGAAGGTTTGCACCGAGTTCAGCTCCAAGCAATAGACCGTGTTATTGCTCTTGCTGCGCCTCTTAGGCCTTCCAATCGTGGCGTGAATGTGAATGTGAACGCAGGTGAAGTCTGCACCTACAGCTTTGCACCCTAAAGCTCAATCAAAAATAAGTCCCACGTTGTCACACTCCGATGCTCTCTGCAATTCTTGTAGCTTGCTGAAGCCGTGTCCAGTTCCTACGTCTCCTCCAGTCTCAATTCTCGACGTTTCTGAGCAGCCCGGCTCGATTTGCCTGTGATTTCGGACGACAGGATTGAACCCAACATGCTAAGTGCACTTGCCCTCGATCTGTTGCTATCTGGCCAGTGCTAGCCATGGACCAATGGAGGTCGGTGGCAAGGTGTGGCAAGGTTTGGCAAAGGGTATCCCGAGTCACAAGGTGAACAAAAGGTAAACCATGCGAATTGTGCCGCCTACCAGAACCCCAAAAGCTCAAACCATGCAACAGGCACGTCACATTCTCCTTGTTTAGCTGCCCTCTTCGTTCCTTATTCGACGTGTCGCCTGGGATCCCATACGGCTTTTAGGCTTATACGAGGCCAAAAGCGATGATACGGACGCTGTGAGCCCCCTCTTTGAAAAGCAACGGCTCGTCAACCAGGGCTGGGTGCATGTGTGTGGGCACGAGGGTGATTTGCCCTTCTGCGGGTGTTTTGCCCTGCTGGTTTGCCTTTTTCCTGCTCCGATCGGGGCAGGTTCGCACAAACACAGAAGCGCATGTTGGGGTGGGTGGGATTGGGATGGATGATAACGCTCCACTTGCCTAGCCTGGCCTGGATATGATTGAATATTATGGACAATGTTGGCATGTCCACAGTAAGAGGGGACGTGAGGTGGAGTGTGGTCTGCACCTTCTCGCACATGCATTTGGCTCTTGGCATGGAGGTCGCATTACTACATCAGCAAGGCAAGAAAGGAGGTGCAAGCAGGAAATCGATGCAAATCTTGCAGCACATGTCCCCATAGAGTACAGCTGCTGATCAGAACCACTTTATCACTTCCATTCACCTCCTTTGACTTTTTGTTCCATGATGTTCCATGACGCAGTTGTGAACCAAAGTTCTGGTGGCCAAAGCTCAACCATGCTGCTCAACCATAGGCCGAAGCGACCATCACTGACTGGACATTCACCCTGAGATCGCCCCAATTCCGGTCGTAGGGTGAAGCGGGTCATCCTCTTGGACTCTGTGCTATTACAAGTCAAGCATCAATGAGATTTGGCCCACTGAGATGCACATGGAATCGTGTCCCACATGGCAAGGGTGCGAGTGTTCTGGACAGGCGGATGGGACACATCATGACTCCACTCGCCTGGAACTTATGGCTGTCTTCCTGGGAGCCTGAGCGAGCCCCAACTCAAACGGAAGCAGAATTAGGATAATTAGGGGCGCTGCATGTACCCTCCCTCCCATAAAAGCTGTGGCCAGGGCCTCCGGGCCTACGCTCCACCTCCATAGTGGTTTCAGGGAACGCGATTAGTGTATCTAAGCGTATCTCAAATACATCGGCTCTGGTGGGCAACGTGCCACGCTTGAACCCGAGGAGAATTGATTGCATCAAACCTGGACAGCTTGGCTCTCCAGAAGCACGTTCTCCGCTCTCAGAGTCCCAAAGTCACCTCTGCGGTCATTTGCCCTGCCTGACTGCTGTAGCCAAAGGTCATGGCCTCTCCTGTGACAGAATCCATGTTGTTACCTTTTGGTTTGCGCATCCCTTGATATGACCAAAAAAGGTCGCCCAACTTCAAATTGCAGGGCCATGTATTTGCCAGACTTGGACAGTCAGCCAGTGACATGTTCCCAGCCTGTGCCGTCTGGAAGTAGAGCCTGGGAGTCTAGGCTGGAGACGGAACGACTGACGTGGACAAGTCAGATGAGAACATGGAAGTGGATGGCTCTGATGGCACCCCTACGTTTTTAAAGGGAAAGTCATCTTCTGGGGGACCATGCCAGCCACTTCCATGTTAGTGAGTGAGAGTGTATACTTGCAATCATTAGCACCATCGGTCTGTTTGGAATGTCAACAGTACTCCACAAGAATGATAGGCCGGTCTGTCTTGGAGCCTGAAACTCAGCACAACAGTTCACCAGGTCACCGGCAAATGCCTCCTCTTTCAGACACTGTGCTTCGGCCTGGAGGTCGCTTTCGCTCGCTGGGCGGGATTGAGTCTTTCTAGACGTGCATCTTGTACAGCCTGGGCAAAGACCCCCTGATCGCCCCACTTGTGAGCACTTCTGAAGCCAGTGGCAGAGTTGTGTAGCAACAAAACTGCACTCGTTGCGCCCAAACCCACAGTGCCTGCCAGGTTCCATGAAGGTCATTCTCCTTGTGACCCGGCCAATGTGGCAATGCGTGGCCCTTCAAAAACTCATGTCCATGCACTCCATCCAGGGTAACTAAGTGGTGGTGGCTTGGTTACGCTGGGGTGCTGAGGCTTAAAGCATCTCTCAATTGCGACACAGTCTGAATCTCAACTGTGTGTGGTCTGGTGTGCACCCCATTAGAAGGGTCAAACGATAACAATATCCGATAACAATCACAACTTTGCACACTTTCCTACATAAAAGGCTCTCTCCAGACTATTCAAATCACACCTGTCACCGAATCAAACAATTATATATATATATATGTAATAGGATATAATTGGCATGACAATGTGCTTATAATATGAATCACCCTGTAGTGTTGTACCATCCGTCTTGCCGTCAGCCGTGTTCCTCTCTCATTTTCAAACTGCCCCTAGCCTTGGCACACCGTTACCTACCTTTTTGGGGTCGCATGGCACGTCGCCAAAAATTTTGGCACTCTGGGATGATTTACGAGCTGCACAAACTATTGGGCAAAACCGCAAAGCTGCTGCAAAGCTATCGCGGGAGAGGCAGCCTTCACTTGCTCACAGCAGCGCCTCGACCACCACACAAAGGAGTATGTATTCCGAAGATGATCACACATGTCAAACGATGTGGCATGTCGAAACAGCCTGCAATGGTCTAAAACCGGACCCTGGCTGCAGCCTCTGCATGCCTTTCACGTGTTTGGGGTGGCATTTGGGGATCAGCTGGACCTCTGAGAGGAGTTCTGACCTAGTCCAAACACTCTGAATCTTCCACGGTTCCAGTTGACCGACAAAGACGACATTTCAACGTGCTTGGGCGATCGGGCAGGGCTCTGTGAGGATCCATAGAAAAGTTCCGACGGAGATCGGATTTCAAGAAACAGCCTGAGCTGCTGGACACGAGCGTCGCACCGTAGATGGACATCTGTTGTGGCCCTAACTCAAAATGTTTACATGTGCGATTTCACAGTGCTTGATGATGTTTGATGCCTGAGGCTGCCTGAGGCATGCAAAACACGCATCCATCAAATCAAAACCGATCCAAGGAAAGCACGGCCCAACTTCAACAGCAAAGCACACCTGGAGAGATGTCAGGCTTGGCAAAAGCGCAGGCAATTGTTATTGGGGATGATTGGGGTATGTGTCTGATATAGCCTAGCATCTCCAGGAACGTTTCAAGCCTCTGTCTTACATCGTCTGACCATAGCTGCGAATCATGCCACACAAAAACGCAAACGGGCCCTCCTGGACATGAGGCTGTCCTCTTAAAGTAGTGTGCCACCCTGCCACCCCACCCTCAACATTGCAGGTTTGAAGCCAGCCTTGGATCTCTGAAAATATCATTGTATATAATCTCTTCCTGCCTGCTGGGTCCAGCATGTTCGACAGGAACAGGACGCAGCACGTCCATCCTCAGTGCGAGACGAGGACTGCGTCACACATTGTGACGAAGGACTCATCACACATTGAAGAACAATGCCCCCAAGAGTTATTTTGCGGCCGGCATTGCGCTCTGAGCGTGTCTGACAAGAAATGGTGCCACAGGATATAGGAAAATGCAGGTGTCAAGCCTGCTCTCTACGGTGAAAATGTTGTCCCCTTGGATGAGGAACGATCAAACCCAGCTCTTAGTAGACCTCCACATGGTAACGGTCAGCCTTCTTCATTGCTTTTGCAAACTCAGTCCAAACCAAGCCGTTCTTCTCAGCAATGGGGCCGAAGCACTCGGCCATGCCGCTCTCCATGCCCTTCAGTCCGCACATGTAAACATGGGTCTTCTCATCTTGCATCAGTTCCCACAGCTCCTCAGCATACTCGGCCATCTTGGTTTGAATGTACATCTTCTGTCCAGCAGCATTCTTCTGCTCCCGGCTCACGGCATAGTCGTAGCGGAACTGGTCTGGGAACGCTTTTGTGTATGCCTGGTGTTCATCATCATAGAGCAAAGACTTGGAATATGGCACTCCCATGAAAAGCCAAGCAATACCCTTGAACTTGCGGCCACCATCAGAGCTGGCACCCGCCTTGTCGTGGAACAGCAGCCTGAGGTAGGATCGCATCGGTGCGATACCTGTTCCGGTGGCCAACATGATAATGTTGGCCTCAGGGTCGGTGGGCAACAGCATCTCAGCTCCCGTGGGGCCTGTGATCAAGACCTCATCTCCAGGGGTCATGTCACAGGTGTGGTTGGAGCAAACTCCACGGTAGACCTTGTTGTCTGGGTATGCTGTTCCAGCCTTGTCCGGCTTGTCCTGGCCCTTCTCTCGGTTGGCATGGGTCCCATCGACCTCCACCACTCGCTTCACGCACAAGGAGACCTAAGATGGAGTGGAACAAAACGGGCAACGGAGCGCACGCGCAAACATGCACCGCATTCCAAAGGATGTGCAGTAGCTTGAAATCAAACACTGATTTGAGGAGGCGCAACGGTGCGAAGATGACACATTTTTGTGTTAGGCATGCGGCAGTAAAGCTACTCGATTTATGCTCGATGATGGCTGCGCCTCCTTGAGATGAGCAACGATCAAACAAGAACACGCGAGGGAAGATGCGAGGGGAAAACAGGTGGGCTCAGCTTTGAGGACAGTGGAAGCACATGGCCGAAATGTTTGTTCGAGCCACTGGCTCGTACGAAATGGTGAAAACGAGGACGATGGCGTTGGCGACGGTAAGGGTGATGACATGATGACAAACAAGATGAATCCGAACAATGAAATCCTTTACGTCCCTTTACGATGTCACCATGCGCATCCATCCGCAAATACTGCCACCAAACATATACACACTTAATATCACTTATATAATCATCTTTAAGAACATTTTCCCCTGTCCCGGTTGCAAAAACATTGCACGATGTGCTACTCGCATTGATTCATTGGTCTGCCTCAGCTGCTGCATAAGAATGGCACCATGCTTGCCCCGTGGACTTATGCAACTATACGACTATACCTACTTGCAAGAGAATACTTAGCCACTCAAAGCTATGAAACTTCCGATTCTCGTAGACTCGTAGAGTCCGTTTTTGACACTTCTTCCAGAAGTACCCACCGGCTCCAGGGAGTCAACAAAAGAAACATGACTTCCCCCCCTCCTGCCCGAACCCCAAAACAAACACACAAACACAAACAAGCTCAGAACTCGCGTAAGCGTTTCGTCCATTGGGTTTGTAGAGATTTTAGGTACGAACCGAAACGCAAAACTCCGATGGGCACTGACAGCCAAAAGAAACGACACATAGGCACATAGGACCTCAATGAATGGGTAAGCTGATAAGTCACGCTCCAAGCAAGTGGTTCTTGGTCACTGCCTCTTTCTGTGGTCACCTTCCTGTTCCATTCATTGGCTTTCTGTTGCCGCCTTTTTGGAGGCTGGAGTCCCTTTTCCTCTTTTCCTGTAGTAGAATAGGTAGATCCTGTCGATAATCAATGCCCAAACCCCTGTAATTACTAGCAGCGGACCCACGCGTCCCTCTGTGACGCCAAAATGCAGTCTTGGAAGTCTGATCATCACCAACTGCTGAAGAGGCAATCGAGTAGAGACGGATTTTGGCCGGTTGCTCGCCTTACATTCCATGTCCAAGCAGCATTGCTTAACCATACAACTGGACCACTGGATTCTGCAGGAACCTGAATGACTTGAAACAATTGGCCAATCCCAACAATACTGAACAATATCCAATGCTTGGATCGGATCCACTCAGTCACTAAGACTTGGATCCAATTCTATCAACTCGAAATATCATCAAACTGATTGGCTCCTAGTGGCCCTTCTTGTCGGGCCCTGGTGCGATGACCCCGATCGACTGGCCCTCAATGTAGGGCACTTTGCCTCCGTGGTCAAAGGTCACATGAGTGGTCTCCCAATTGGCATCACCTGTGGGCTGGGTCAGCGTTTGAGGATGAAAGTCATTCTCAACGACCTTGCCCTGGTACGGCGCCTTTGGGGAGAAGAGATTCCAGGGAATCTCCTGGGTCAGGGCAGTGTCGCTGGATTCACCGGCTCATAGTTAAAGACCCTAAGGCCCTATAAGCTTTCAATTTCATGGCAGTGGTACCCATTAATTACATTGATTGATAGGTGTGTGGCATAAATTGAGACTCAGCATGACTCAGCCCTTGGGACTCCTTTCCATGCACCACTTTCACACCCTTCTTCTTCACAGCAGCTGCGCGGCAGCTGGTGGCGCCCGCTTTCCTTCCGGCAGCTGCTGCCATCGCGACACCTGCCAAGCTTGCCAACGCAGCTGTTCCTGCCAGGCCAGCACTGCTTCCCTGGGCACCGGCATCGACAGGAGAGGCTCCTCGCAAAGCCGGGGCCGTCGAAGGGCGAGTCGAGCCTGGCGCGATGAAAGCAGTGCCAGCAGCACCAAGCAACGCTGCGACCGCGGTGGACTGCGCCATGGAGTAGGAGGACGTGCCGAGGAGTAGAGGTAAGCGAAAACTGGGCCAAACTCTGCAGTCGTCAGCGGCTTGTGTGACTTCATGCTGCAAAGAGTTGAACGTAAACGGTGTGAACACGGCAGAGTGGTTCAAGTGCTCGGGTTGGGCAAGCATGTGGGGTTGTCGTGGTGTTTTTTTAAAATATCCTTGCTTGCATATTGCAGCTACACGCTGCTGTGCAGGATGCTGATCGTGGTGGCAAATCCTCGCAAGCAACCCGCTCAGAACCGAATGACGCTCCTGAGCCGGATGCGCCCACTCATAGTTGCGGACAGCCTGGCATTTATTGTCATTTGACAAGCATGCAGCGTGACCATCCTCCGCGCTTTACTTGAGCAATGTCCTCATCTTAGCACATGTTAGCACCCTACCCCAACATGCCCAGCAAGCAGCTCATGCGGCATTCAATCGGCATCTCAATGCGTGAACTGACCGAAATGGTCGGGTGATGGTCGGGTGTCCAGCTCGCTCAACGACCCCGTCTCGGTCCGCCTGGGTGAAGTGGCTTTCACTGAAGCAACGGTCCCCGGCCAGACGGAGCTCCCAGGCCTCGGACGGGCTTCAGCCATCTTCAGCCCAGGTCTAAACAAGAAAACCCATGGCTCTTGAAACCCACCAAATCTGAGTAGATGAAGTAATGAATTTTTCTCCGGAGAAAAACATGATATAATTTCATTACTCAATCCAGGTTTGGGGAATGGAGGAACGATCTCCCTTTTTTTCTCTGAGATTCCTGGAGGGGTCCAGCCACCCTCATTCCTTGCTAAGCACCAGTCAGAATGCCTCAAGTGCCCACACTTTGGTAGATCGTTGTCAAAGAGGTTTCTCCATGTGTCTTTATGCATGGCCTGGTGTGATACGTCCTGGAATTCAACTGGAGTGCAGTACTGCTGGTCTTGCAGTGGGTTGCGGTTCCCGGAATAATGCGTTTCGAAATGTTTCGAATTGATGAGATCCGAAACTTCCTGATTGCTTTGTGCTCTAGGGTGGGCACTTTGTTCCAAAAGTGCCTCTGCATGCCTTTGCCAGGTATGTAAAGCCTCCTTGAATCCAGGATTGGTGTGGGGTGTATATCGTCTTAAATGTCTACTGCAAGGCATCCTGACTCAGTCTTTCTTCCTACATGTTCTCCGCACCTTTCCATGTGTGTCATGATCCCATTGGCCTTCTCAGTAAGCTGGAGAGTGCTTGCATCCATGCGAGCCTTGGATGGATTCGTCAAACTAAGGCTGGGCTGATGCTGCCTGCTCCATCTGGCACATGCTGATGGTAATAACAAGAAGTCAAGTCTTCTTGTGACCCTTTTTTTGCCATGAGCACTGAGCTGATCCATAAAGCTGCTGCACGATGCACAACTCCAAAGAATGCTGGTCGTCTGCAAAATCAATGGGTGCTCAAAGTCCACTGGCCTCGGTCCTTGGCAGTGGCGCGGCCTAGCGGCAACAGGTGAACTGCGTAAAGGTCAGGCCATGTCAGGCCTGATCTAAATGTTGGGGTCTTGAGGCTCAAGCCCCATGAGCCGTGAGACTTGAAAGTGCACATCGATTTCAGCTTTGAACTGTGGCCGTTGATTGGACGTGGAAGCCATGGGAACTCCCATTAAACCTTTCTGGGACTCTCTCCAGCTGTCCTTCAACATGCTCAAGCCTATCGAAGTGTCCAACATGCCTGGTGTCCTTTTCGGGTTTGCCAGCGACGTTTTCGCGCACCTCTTGCTGTGCTTTCACTCGGACAGACCAGTCCTGGGTGAGACGGGTTGACAGCAAACATCCTAATGTAGACTTAATACAACACACCATGTGGAGATGTAGAACTATTAATCAAGTCTACATTAAGCTCAAACTTTGTGCAGTTAATGGATATACTGAGCGCCGATGACTTAGGAGTAGTGGGTACTAGTGAGTCAGGAGTATCCTCTGACAAGTCCTGATGACTTAGGCTTCACTTTTTTGCCTACCTCCTACAAGTCCTGGGTCACTGGTGGGTAGTATAGTTGATCAACTCTCTCTCTCCTCAATGATGAGCGTGACTTTCATTCATAGAACCCGGTGGTGTTCTCAGACCGGTCCTTTTCTGACCATACTGTATCGTACCGGTCTCCGAAGCGGTGACAGCTTGACTGGTTGCTGTGAAGCTGACCAAGCAAGGCTTGAAGGAATGGATGCAACGCAATCAACATAGAGGAAGGACACATGTGAACATTGAACAGCGTTGGATATTCTTGGATATTCGGTGAAGGTCAAGTGCAAACAGTTTCCGTGTTAAGTATAACGATTGCTTAGTAAGCGCAGTACATCAGTACATGTACAAATATGTCTCTATATAATTGTATATAGCTGATCCTGGGAGCCTCAATCATTCAGCTCCGCAACTCTGATCGAACGCAGTGTTCTTTTCCACGCAGTTCTTTTTTGAACCCTCGGCTGCCTGTTTACAGGCGCTGGGCCTGGCGTAGCACTCAAAGTTCAGTGTGAATAAACTTCCCATTCACCCACTTCGCTTTCAATGCGCTCTCGCCGTTCTTCTCAGCTATCCTCAGCGTGAAAAGTCTCAGCAAACATATCGGTGCAGTTCGACGAAGCGACGCGCGACATGAATAGGTGTCATGAGCTAGTGCTCCCAACTGTGCAACAAGAAGATCTCCTGGAGCTCCTTCTACCTTTTGAAGTCGATGTCCCAGAACTCAGCTGAAAGCCTGGTTCAAACAAACCCCTCGGTGATTCTACGTATCATCTTAGAATGAAGAAATGAAGTGATGAAGGTCACATGGAAAATAAGTGGCCCAATCCCTGCTTCAGGCCTTACGGAGAAGCAAGTTTTGAGGTCAATTTCTTGGAACTCCGATCCTCAGCATCCTCAATGCCATTCAATGCCCTGGGATCGTTCTGAGCACCCCTTGCGCTTTCATCTCTTTGAGGAGATGGACCATTGTAGCATACCTGAGAATCGGACGCCCTACGATTTGGGCGGCATTTGATCTGGGAATGGGCTTATTCAATGTTCAACTTTAAGCAAACAATGTATAATATCATCAACGATCTTGAATGTGTCATGAGCATCCATGAAGCTCATGGAATGTATGCAATGATGATCAGCACTTCCAACTGCAATTTTTGCAGATGTTTAACTCTGCGACAATCCGTTGCGGCTTGTAAACTTGCCCCGCCCGCGCGCCTCATCTGCCCTTTTGGCGTCGATGTAATGCCTGAATCAAGGCCCGGCGTGTGTGGCCACCAAAACCAAAAGACACAATCATCCAATTCCCTCCTTCAGGCTGGGTTGAGCTTGACCCAGCGCTGACATCAGTTGAAAGACCCACTGAATGTCCGGTGTGGTAAAATCGCTGCATGAATCACAAAAGGAACATCGCTGGCACCTCGGGCGATTTCTTTCTCCCAAAAGGTGATGTCGTTGCTGATCTGGATGGCCAGGCGAGTCGATGACACCAACTCCGGAGACTAAAAACTGAAGATGCACTATATACGGTAATCGGTGCTGGGATGCTACATCCAAACTTGTTTGCAGGCCAGACATCTTACTAACTGTCAGCATCGTAAACTAATTAGCCATTGTTTAGCCGCTTAGCCATTGTGTGTTGACTCATTCTTCCGAACTCACTTGCAAACGCGGCAGTTTTCTTCAAAACTTGTTGATGACAAGCACTAATGGTTTCCTTCATGTGTATATTAGGAAGTCAACATATCCCACCATAGCAGGATACTGTTCCAACTCGTCTGTCGCCTCCCCAAACACCTTCAAAATGAACTGATGGAATTCCCCAAAGACCTTCAGACCACTGAGAGTGTGACCTTCTGCAAGCTAAGGCTCGCAGAGTTGATAAACCTGAGATCGGCTGGGAGTCACAGCCACAGCTGGGAGTCCTAGAGGTCTGAAACAGCTGCATCGATCGGAAGGGAAGGTCCTTTCCACAGAAAGGGGCATTCTAAGAGTCACAAACATGAGACTAATTATATACTTGAGTTGGGTTCTTGAGCAACATGTTTTATGCATGAGATCGCTGTGCACAAGCTCCGGTGCTTCAACATGCTTCATCTTTAGGTTCTTTGTTTTAGGTGGCTGATCTGCCCTGAGGCAGCTTGTGCAATGAAAGCCATTCATTTCAAAGCTCGCAGGCGTTGTTGAACTTGAAACCGCTTATGAACCTTGACACCTACAAGTCGCAGAATCCTGAGCAGCCATACAATCATGAAAGAGTCACACTCGGCAGTCCTTTAGACTAGAGCCGTTCCCTTAGAAGAGCCAACGCGAAAATAAACTGGCCCCGAGGCTTAATTCGCCCCTCCTCTGGGTGTCCAACGTTCTCTCGAAGCCATTGCATTTCGTGAAGGCATAAAGGGAACACGCCGACTCAGGAGCCTCCACCTCCTGAGCCAAGGGAATGCACAAAGCGGCGGTATTGGGGTCATCGAAGTGAAAACTTGGGCGCCACACAGGTGTCGATCTGCAGGTGTCGATCAGAAGCTCTAAGTCAATCGCAACACAAAACAGAACCGAACTGTCTGAATACCATGAAGCAGAACCAATTCAGCACTTGGCTTCATGAAGACTCTGCCAAACGGCAGCTTTGCCAGAGCTTATCTACTGTCAAGAGGCTTTGTCTATAAATAACATCGCGCGGTGTGTGTGTGTGTGTTTAATTGTTTTTAAAAAATGGCTTTGGTACATAAACTTTGGCATCCAAATCATTGGGACAGAAAGTTCCAGCATGATTCCGTATGAACAACCGCGCCAGCCAGACTTTTATGCAAAAAAATCCAAAACCACACCCAAAAATCCAAAACCCTCAATCCAATACGTTGACATTGGTTGGGAGTCCGCTTGTTCGGCTGAGGGCCTGTAGGTCAGTCTGATGCTAGTCTTGCTCCAGGACTCTTCTTCATGACACGTCAAGCTGGCGTAATTACATGGGTCTAAGCGTACGACAATCCTTGAGATACGACCAACATGGTCCAAAAGTCCAGGCAACTGGCTCCCAAAGACATGACACAAAATGCAAAGCCCAAGGTTCTACTCTGTAATCTTGGCGTGAGCGTCCGCCCTGCAAGGAGCGTCGACTGTTGCAAAAGCCTCTTAAAAGCTCCAACCGCTCTCCACAGGCAGTGGCCTTTGATAGTCTTGGATGTGTCCTCGGGGTCCCTTTTGACCCCCCTTTGTGATGTACGATTCCATGTGCGATGTCGGTCGTCACATGTCAGGCTGCCCACCGCCGCCTTGGCGGCGGCTCGGCGCTTGGCTGCGATCTCATCAGCCCACCGCCTGTGTGAGGCATCAGATCAAATCCGGAGTTGGACGCGATTCTTTCCAATCTGGCAAATCTCAAGTATGCAAGTCTTGTGCACACATGTGGTCGGACCATCCTCAATGAATTCTGATCCGAAGAGCCCTACAAATAGTAGGTATCCTTGTGCAAGCGGGTGGACAACAACTGACACACCCAAAAAAAACTCGCTGGTGCGTCAGTCTCGGGTCTCGGGTCCTCAGAGGTTGATGTTCAAACCACTCGCAGTAAGGTCAGTGAGATTCGGTGAGTATACACTCCTGTACGCAAGCGACAGGCAATGCGTCTCCCACACATGTGTGCGTACGGGTGCGCCATAGGGAGAACCGCACAGACCGCTAACCAGAAGGACGGACATAACGATGACTCCACGTGACTCATCGCGACTGAGCCCGTTGAAACCGCGGGGTCAACGTGACTTACATGTTACATGACTTTAAAAAGAAGTGTAGTAGCGATGGCCCCCAACCTAGCAGCTCCAACCTAGCAGCGATGGCCTCCAACCTGGCAGCGATGGTCTCCAACCTAGCAGCGATGGCCTCCAACCTGGCAGCAATGGCCTCCAATCTGGCAGCGATGGCCTCCAACCTAGCAGCGATGGCCTCCAACCTGGC